GATGTTCAATGTTCCAAACATGAGCTCAGTAATGAGTAGCTCCACTATTATTGTTGATCACTTCAAAAATTCCTTGCGGCATGCTTGATGGAAGCTTTTCCATGAGGTGAGTGGGAACATTTCTTCAAGTGGTAAAGACGGCCATCTGAAAGGAATCTACTGTCTGGATCTGTTGTCCATTTTTGTAAACTTCCCTTGCCATCCATCCCCAAAGGTTCTCAGTTGGATTTAGATCAGGGGAACACGCAGGATGGTCCAAAAGAGTGATGTTATTCTTCTGGAAGAAGTCCCTTGTCCTGCGGGCATTGTGTACTGTAGCATTGTAGCACCCCAGACCATTATGGCACCCCCTCCACTGTGGAGCGTGGAGAACATCTCAGGTGGGATCTGCTTGTTAAGCCAGTAACATTGGAAACCATCAGGACCATCAAGGTCACATTTTTTCTCATCACAGAATAAAACCTTCTTCCCCCACCCCACCCGACACACAGTCACACACACCAAACATATTAAAGATTGTAACTTAACATATTTTATTGTGAAAACTGTTGTTGAATTTTAAATTGAGAATAGCAGACAAATCAACAATACAGCTCTTCCAGTAATGGCTAATTAATATTGTACTGAACACAGCCCAAAAGATTGAGTAAACCACATCAGTGTCTACTGTCTGTTTACTATCATAGCCAAGTGGCTAACAACGGCAACCAGAAGTTTTCCCAATACCTACTAATGAATGTTATCTTGTTTCAGGATACATAATACCTGCCATTATCCAAAGACACATCTGGTTACCCGTGTCTTTTGTTCGTTTCTCCTCTTCTTTTCTTTTTTTTTCTAAACTGAGGACCTGATGGCTCTGACCTTTTCTTGTCAATCTTCCATCAGTAATTTTGCACTCCAGTATCAACAACCAAACCCCACAACATACACCAATAGACACCTTATGCACAGATTCAGGTTTTATAGGTTGTTTTTTTTTTTTTTTTGGATTCCACACAACCCAGGAAAAATAATTCATACATAGTGGGCTTGGATTGACAATATTACGAATGATTATTATTATTATTTTTTTAAATATTTATTTATTTTTATTTTGTGAGCTTGTTATTAGATGCTGCTCCAGCCAGCCAGAGAATCACTTGCTGTCCTACCCCTCGCCTCCATTTACGAGGTGCCCTTACTCCTTGCAAATGGGCAATAGAAAACCATTCGGTGCCTATGCAATCCCCAAAATTTGCTGGCATGATGTCGGGGCAGCGTGAGTGCAAGCAACTTTTTTTTCCCCCCAATGCCATGATGCAACCCCCACCACAATGCTGCCCTGGGCAGCTGCCCATGTTGCCCATATCTAAAACCGCCTCTGGTCCCATGTTTGGTGCTCTGTTGCAAAGTCCAAAGGGTCAGTTCTGTGGGTATTTAAGGAGGCCTTTGAAGATGTTTTTTGTTTTTGAAGCCCTTCAGTCTCAGATTCCTGATGTACTATCAAGTGCTATCAACATTAATGTTTCCTTTGAGCTTCAGTTTAGTCACAGGAGAGTTTCACACGATCCTCTGGCCCTGTCTTAGGGATAGGCATGAAGCCTCTTTCAGGGTCAATTAAAGGTTGTAGTCCATCCAAATTTGACAGTTTAGGGCATTACATGAATTTGGAGTAATGGTGCTGCAGGGGCACATGTGTGGGCTTACTCAGTTTATTTCCATTTTTAATATATCGTTCAAACTTTTTCTTTAATCTGTTCTCCCAAATTCTTAAACATCTTAACATCAAGCTTAACAGGGCTTCAGGCTATCATGCTCAAAGTCAGGGGAGCTTCGGGGTGTTTCCATCAAACACGGAACTCCCACTTAATGCAATCAAATGGGGGAGACTGCGAGGAGGGTTTGCCATGGTTGATCCTGGCTAATGGAGAGAGCACACATTTAGCCCTTATAAATTATTGTTTGGACATAAGTAGTTAAGAGGAGTCAAACCCTCTTAAAGGTGGTAGCGGTGGCTAGCTCTGTATTTTGTTTGCAGCTGGAGAGACATGGCATAGGAAATCTGGCTTCTGCTCAGAGTAAGAAGAAAAATGTTTGGTAAAAGACGTTTCACCTCTTATTTAAGAGGCTTCTTTAGTTAAACTGAAGAAATGCTACTGTAAAGTACAACTGTATCAGTGGAAGAATTAGAAAATAGGTGTTTAAAGAAACCATAGACCAGTTCTACCTTCTTTGACTCATTGAAGAAGAACCTCTTGCTACTGTTTCTACTTACTCCTGTGTTAATTTTGGATTTGTATGCGTTTTTTTCTTCTTTTCCCTATGCTGGATAGGTGCTGAAAACTCGCCTTACATTAAGGAAGACCGGACAGTACTCAGGTATGGCTGACTGTGCCAGACAGATTCTGAAGACTGAGGGTATCCGAGCATTCTACAGAGGATACCTGCCCAATACAATGGGCATCATTCCATATGCTGGCATTGACTTGGCTGTGTATGAGGTATGTACTCCAGGCTTTTTTTTAAACAACATGGCGGCGCGTGCACACGCAGTGGCTTCTCTCTCTCCCAAACAAACTACTTTTTCGTGTTTTTCATCCTGTAAGTTGCAGTGTTTTTGTAAGTCTTTGTTGCGTCTATCTGTGTGCAAGCGAGGATATGCCCGAACACTTCTTCTCGACATCGGCAGAAATAAACTTTTTAAGTTAAACTCTGTGGACATCGAGAAGCTGAAAGATCTGGGTCTGCTCCGAAGGCCTACTCAATCACCGACCCCCACTCCTGCACTTCGCCCACAATGGATGCGCCTCAAGCGGTGTGAGAGGAAGCAGAAGAGGGGTAAGCGCGGTGGCATC